CTGAGTGAGACTCCAACTCAAAAAAAAAAAAAAATTATTTATTTATGCATTTATTTTTCAGGGTTGAAGTTTTGCTCTGTTGCCTATGCTGGAGTTCAGTGGCATGATCATAGCTCACTGCAGCCTCCAACTCCTGAGCTCAAGTGATCCTTCCGTCTCAGCCTCCCGAGTAGCTGGGACTACAGGTATGAGCTACCCTGCCCAGCTGAGTAAATATTTGTAAAGTACTTGTATGTTAAGTGCTGAACTTGTGTTTGTCAAGCAAATAAAGTATTTTGATGGGTCACACACTGGCTGTGGTGATCTTCTCAGTTCTCTGATTGCTTGTGGGTATGAAGATTATCCTCACCCTGCCAATGAGCAAACGGAGGGTGCAGATGTTAAGTGAGTTGCCCAAGGTCACACAGCAGAGACAAGATTCGACCCCAGGCCTGACTCTGGAGCTCCGAAGTGGGGGCTTTGTGACCCCCTCACGTCAGTCCATGGACTGAACTTCCAAACACTCACACCTCACTGCTGTCTGGGAGGCTTGTTTGTGAATCTTGGGCCCATCTGTCCCTCCCCTGGTCACACACACAGCCTGGGCCCTGGGGGAAGAGCACTGTCAGCACCGACAACTTTGGGTTTGGGGTACCCCTTACCCGAACCAACAGTGTCTTCTTCACGTGGTCCTGGATGCCGTAGCCCACGGCCTTGATCTCCACGTCCACTCTGCCGACCTCCAGAGGCAGAAGCACAAAGGGCACCATCTTGGAGGAGGTGGGGGGCACGACCACCACCTGGCGGGATGGAGCTCCCGGCTTCGACGCGCTGCACAGCGGTTCCTTGTGGGGGAACTCCACTCGGACCTAGGCAGGGCGGGCAGGGAGGGGGTTCTGAGCATGGGGTGACCCAGGACACTAGGGTCACAGTCCCCTGCAAGCCCCCACACTGAGATGCCTGAGTAGGTGACAGCACAGTGTAGTCATCCAGACTACAGACCCTGCCTGGGTCAGAGTCTCCTCTGACACCCATGTGCTGTGTGCCTTCAGACAAGCCCCGTAACCTCTCTGTGCCTCAAGTTCCTCATCTCTAAATCAAGAACAATAATGGTACCCACCTGAAGGGGTTATTATAAGGTTTCTTTAATTATTATTTATTCATACGAGTTGAAGTCTCACTCCATTGCCCAGGTTGGAGTGCAGTGGCATGCTCATGGTCACTCTGGCGTCAACCTGTTGGGCTCCAGTGATCCTTCCACCTCAGCCTTACAAGTAGCCAGAACTACAGGCATGCGCCACCATGCCTGGCTAATTTTTAAAAATTTATTGTAGAGCTGAAGTCTTGCCAAGTTACCTAGGCTGTTCTCGAACCCGTGGGCTCAGGCAATCCCTTCCCCTTAGCCTCCCAAAGTACGGGAATTACAGGCTTGAACCACTGCACCCAGTCTATTATGAGGTTTTAAAAAAATTTGTTTTTGAGTTGGAGTCTCACTCTGTCACCCAGACTGGAGTGCAGTGGCCGCTCCC